TCTCTTTCTCTCTCTCTCTCTCTCTCTCTCTCTCTCTCTCTCTCCTCTCTTTCTCTCTCTCTCTCTCTTTCTCTCTCTTCCTCTCTCAGCCCACAGGGGCAGGCTAACTGTTGTCCTTTGGTTCCCAGGGAGGCTCAGGGCGTGAGCAGAGCTGAGGTCTGACTGCAGTGGTGAAAGCGGCTCCAAGGGCCCCGCCCCCCACCCACCCCAGCAGCTCAGGGGCGCATGGCTGCCTGTCAGGGGCCAGCTGAGGAGTAGTTGGCTTTACAGTCTCTCCCACAGCCACTCAGCCCTGCCGCCGTGGCCCAAAGCAGCCAAAGGCCGATGTGCAGCAAACCTTGGGGACGAGCGAGTCGCACGCCTTGTGCGGCGGTTCCCCGGTGCGTACAGAAGTCACATTTGCACGCTGCCGAGTCTAAGTGCGCAATAGCATTACGTCTACAAGGAATGTCCAGGCCTTAATTGAGAAATACTTTGTGGCTTAAAAAATGGCGCTGATAGCCCGGCTCAATCCAGAGTTGTCACCAACCTGCCGTTTGTAAGAAACAAACAAGCACGGTGTCTGCGAAGCCCGCACAGCAAAGCGCAGTGAAGCCGAGAGGCTGTGAATTAACGACACGGCCGTTCCCAGTGAAACTTTGTTTACAGAAACCAGTGGCCGCGAGCCCACCTCTTGCCAACCGCTCTCCTAGCCCAGGGTTGGGAGTCGGAGGGAAGGGGCAGAGCGGGAGGTTGAGGCCTCGGGCTCCGGCCCTGCCTGTCGGATGCGCTGGAATCTCCAGCCGGGGCACAGCAGCAGGGCGCCCGGGCGGCCAGGGCTCTCTCACGCCTTCTCCCTCCGTCTGCTGAGACCTGGGCAGCTACCACTGGCCCGGGAGCGTGGCCTGGACCGCGCATCCCTGAGTCAGGCCTCAGCAGGTCCTCACGGCAACCCTGTGACAGAGGCAGCTCGGATTACTTCTCACTCCCATTTTACAGATGGAGAAACTGAGAGGTGGGCTCACCTTTCCAAAGTCCCAAAGTTCAGAAATGGCAGAGAGGGGGTTTGGACCCGGGTCTCTGACCTCACCCTGCCTCTGATCGGCCGTGTCCTGCCTCCGGCCTGTCCTTGTCGCCGCCACCCCCAATCCCAGTGTTTTTCTGAGGTGCTGGTGGGCCCGTGCGGTGCCCTCTTTCAGACGCACACAGGACAGGGCAGCCGTGCTGTTTTCCATCAGAAACATGCCAAGTGGCCAGGCAGGTGGTTCCTGGGGCTCCCACCTCCCCTGCTCCTTTGCTGGGTCCCCTCCTCTGATGAGGAATCATTGCCCAGGAGGCCTCCTCATCTCAGCCACCCTCAGAAACAGGAACCCAGGAAGGAGGGCAAAGAGGGGCCACAGCCTAAACCCTGAGGTAGCCCTGGCCACGGCGCAGGGGTCTGGGGGCCCGTGGACACCCCTGCCTCCGTGGACAACGCACAGACTGGCCCTCCCCGGCCCTGCACCACCAGGCCAGCTGTGCACTGGCCTGGATTCCGCGTGTCTCCACGGCCAGGAGCGCTTAGGACACAGGGCAGCCTCTCCTGGGGTCCCCAGCGAGACGGCAGGAGCGGGCAGCAGGAGGTCCAGCCACCCCCTCCCGTCCCAACATGACAGGCAGCCACAGGGCCTGGGGGACCCGCCTTCA